GATTCTCATTCGGCATCGTTTCTACTGCTTTTAAGATTTTTGGGTCGTTTTTCATTCTTATGCTACCAGTTAATGTGATGTTAACTAGTAAACAGGAGTGTGTTAATTTCCAGCCTAGGTTTGCTAAACTGCATGCTGGAATTTATGAAGCTGAACTATGTCCTTTTTTGGGAGATTAAAAAGCACAGAGAAGTATTGACTGCCCTAAAACAGCCGGGCGTAGCCGGTTATACAAACCATTAATAAAGTAAGTTTAAAAATCACCTTGTCATGGAATGCCTCTGGTAAACAAATTGTGACCCCAACGAGAGATTGAAATTGTTTCTCATACTTCTGTTTTGCTCTTAATCGCTTACGTTCCTCCCTCTCGGAAAGCACCTTTTTTCTGACTATTGTAAGGCGCCTCTCTTCTTGAGCTAGAAAACGCGCAGCCCTGAACCATTTAAAGTAGTGTTAGATGCCGAGCTGAAATAACTGCAAAATTTCAAATCTTTCTGGGACTCACGCAGCTCTTTTCAGTTGTACTTCATCGGGATTTGAATGCTGTCTGCAGTTTATATATCTAGGTTCTACACCTTGATTGTCACCACATCTTGGTGAATGATGGGGATCAAAACCTTCGCTGTGATCCACTAGAAGACCCAACCTGAGATAAAAATGCTGAGACCAGTAAATGTAGCACAGACGACTTTAGAACTACCTTTGAGCACAAGTTGCGTGGTAATGCTGCTTACACATCCCTAGTTCACATCGCGTAGCCACACCAGAGCGTGCTTCTAGAATATCTGTGCAGCCGTTGCAGCTCTAAAATACGCTATTACAAATACCCAGTAGTGATTAAAAACTTAAAAAAACCACTTTTCTTCCAAAATTACGATGATCCATTTCCTGCCAGCTGATTGCTGTCAAATGGTCTATATCACCGAACGTAATTCCCCGAGTGTACAATGCACAGATAAGGTGCACCCATCGACCACCGACGTCTTAAAGAGCAGATTGCCAACGAAAGAAGAAAAGATAACATTGAAATGAGTAAACCTGATCTTTTCATGGCGCCATATCTAGAAGGACATAGCTCGCAGTACGGAGGCTCATTGTATCCATACACACATGGCTCGCAAAACCAAGGCTCCGTAGATGAACTAGACTGTGTGCTGTCATTGTCCTCGCTCACGTCTAATGACATATAACAAGAATCATGAACAGTCAGACCACATCTATAAAGTTAACAAAAAGCCTCAGAAGTCGATTGGAGAAGAAACTACAAAAACATACTTGTCGCACTGCATAACCTCTTCCGCATTTGCTATATTTGAGAGATTGAGACATAGAGCGCAAATCCGCACCTGCTAAACGGGCCACAGATAATGGAGTTTATAACAATACTATAAAGCATACGTGCGACAAGGTGGACACCGGCCTCTCCGGGTGAAGGGGGTCATAACAAACTTTTACCTCTCTAGATGAGTAGGGTCGGATCTGAGGTAGAGTGTGGAATGTCCTAGTACCACTAAACTTTCAATAATGTTTGAACTCATTAAGAAATAGAGATTCGTTTGAGAATGTTAAATAAACGATCTCGTATGCCTGTTTGCAGATCCCCAGCCGAATAAAGGGACAGAAGGCTGTGAAAGAAATGATAAATATACACATTTGAAATTATTGCATTATAGTGTAATTAAGAAAATAAATTATGCATAAATAAGCTATTTTTAGAGGAGAATCGTAATGAAAGAACGATTTTGACAGAGATTATGGTAGAAGAAGATTCCACGACATCAATTAGGTCACACTTTTGGATTAAAAATCCTGCTGTTGTAGCTGTTGTGTATAGATAGAAAGAGTAGAATCTCCTTGTCGTACTTCACTTCAGTTTACAAAGAAATACTTAGAGTTGTTCGTAACCCAACCTCGCCACTTAACAGTTGCTCAACAGAAACTTTCTCCGAAGGCAGCTACTTTGAAGACAAATTGTGCGAGGGAGCAGTTATATTGAGGCAACCTCCCTTAATAAAATAGCAAAACTTCAGAATGAATAGATTTGATGTGAGAAAGATTTAGGCTTACAATTAAACCACATTTCTTGGATAGAACCGCTTGTGAATCCTTTCTGAAAATGAAACGCAGCATTAGAGGCATATTAATCCTCACTTCCGTTTTCCGAATATATATATATATATATATATATATGATTTGTTAGGGGAAAAGTTATTTAACTTTGCGAGGGTGGGTGAATATTACTGTATTGCGATGCTAAATTCCCCTGTCGGCATCCTTTGATGTTCTTACGGTACCTGAATATCGCTTTACAAATATATTCATCAAACTCTGGCAAAGTCAAATGAGAATTTCTTCTAACAATTTGTATATTTTCTGAGAAAGCGGAAGATAAGAGGATTCTGAATGTGCCCCTAGTGTTGCGTTTCGTTTCAGGAAGAAGTTACAAGCGTTCATCAGGAAACGTAGTCCAATTGCAAGCCTCGATCTCTCTCAAATCAAATCTATCTATTCTGAAGTTTTGTTATTTTATTAAGGTTGTTACAATATTGCTAGTAACCTCGCACAATCCGTAGTAGCCCTATAGAAAAAATTTCTGATGAGCAGCAGCTGAGTGGCGAGGCTGGCATACGATCCAGGTATTTCTAGCAAACAAAGGGAAATGACCTAAAAAGATCTCGAATGGAATTTCCATAGTTCTGTGTCAAAATAATCTTTTTAGCATCTTCTATGAAAGTAGCTTACTTAGGCATAAGTTATTTTCATAATTACCATGTTATGATGTAAATAATTTTTAATGTGCATATTTATTCACCATCCTTCGCAGTCTCCTGCCTCTGTATCTGGCGGGGGACCTGCAAATAGGCCGGGATCGCTTTTTTTATCCTCCCAAACGAATCACTGATTTTCCACCTAGCCCTTGGTGAAGGGTCAGCCTGCCTCCTGTCCCAAGGTGAAGGGCGAGATGAGCAAATTTTCACCCTATCGCATGCATGCTGTAAAACATCAGTGAACTATCTTCAATCTATGTAAAAAGTTAGCAAATTTCTGTTAAAACCATGGAACTAAAACCTAAATACAATTATTGACGAGAAAAATCATTACTGCCATAAAAAGAAAGAGCCCATGTTCCAAACCTTGAGATTTTTTTGCACAGTCATTTCTTTCAAAAGAAAAACAAAAACTACGTGTTAATACCGTTTAATATGACTGTTCAATATTAGAAAAATTGTTCGGTTGTTGTCTCAATATTAGAAAAATTGTTCGGTTGTTGTCTTCTTCGTGTGATGTTATGTTTTGTCTTTGTATGTCATGTTATTCTAGAAAATTTAAATAAAATAACAAGAGATATAACTTTTGACAAATACTCTAGGGAATCATAGATATAAAGCAATTGTAGCGGATAAAGATCAAACTTTGCTGAGCTGTACCATTAACGATCTTTTCCAAAATCTTAAGGAAAGCATCCTAATGGGAAATTGCGAGTAGTGAGGAGCTAGACATACTTTTACAAAGCTATAAATTTGGAAGAGTGAACTGACCTCTTTACCGTCGTCAACCAATCCATGGATAGATGCAGAGTTCTAAAATAACAACATGTGCGAGAAAAATGTATACAGGTAACGCCTACGCTTACCCCAAAATGCTTTTCCAAACTATTCTTGTTATCGCCGGAGAGTGATAATAAACTGCTTGAGGTATCTTCAGAATCTTCCGAATCACTCTCTTCAGAATCTGAGCCCTCGTTTGATTCGTTTTCGTTGTCAGCTGAAAACAATGAGCTCAATGGAGACTAATATGGAACAATTTCAATGAGAGTTTGTTACCTACGAAATCCTCATCATCTTCCTCATCTTCGTTGTTGGGCAAAACCAAATCAAGCACAGCGGCTGTTGGTTTGATTTGGCGTTTACCTGGACCGCGAGAACCTATCAAAACATGGTAGCAGTATAGGGAGGATTGAAAAATGAACTATGATATTTTCCCGATTATGAAATATTTTGAAATATTCATGC